GATGATTTGTTAATAGAAAATTAATTTTAACCAGCACAACAATTAACATATTATACATTACTACTTATTTTCTCATAACATTAAAGATGAGAAGTAAAATCGCCCATATCTTAATTTCTTWAACTGAATGGAACTTGAACGTTGTAAACAAATCGACCACTTATAATATTATTGTAAAAACTTTTGAAGATTTATTTTTTTTTAATTATTTATATTCACTTAAATATATGAATACAAACAGATTGTAAAATTGACATAAAAGATTAGATATTAACAATCACACTTTTTAATAGTTTTTGCTTTTGACGTTTTCTTTTCTTTTGAACATTTTGGGTTATGTTGAATACCAACTCTTCCTCTTCTTGACTATTATTTATGAACATCAGTGAGTGAAAATTTTCACCCACTAAATCCTATTTATACACAAATTTAATGATAAATAATTGTTTTATCATAAATAAATTATGCTTATTCATTTGAATAAAGTCAATTTGTTACATACTCTAAACTCATTTGTTTTCTTTGTAGCAAGTACATTTAATTGCCTTAATATAGGTATCATATCACTGACAGATGATATTGGTTTGTGCAATGTTTGTACTAAAAATACAAGTGACCGGACAACTGGCTCAATTCCATGATGCATATGACTTAATAATGGTATTAACGCTTCCATAAAATAACATACGCTTGAAAAGGGCATAAGTAATAAAACCTCTTCCAACTCACTAAAAATTATGAAAAATATATTATAGCCTTTAATTACCTGTTGAACAAATTATAAGAATTCTAAAGTAGGATTTTCCAAGTAAATTAAACTTGCCTAGAGCGTATCTTTTTAATTATTTCCAATAAATAATCGTCGGTGGTTTTAACATTAAAAGCAGTCATTATTATTGGTAATGTTGGTTTCTCTACACCTTTATTTTCAGTTTCCAATAAGTTATCTTTGTATTCTTTAATTACATTTAAACATTCCAACAATAATTCAGCCTAAAATATATTAAATTTTAAAAATTTAAAAAAAACTATTAATGGATTTAAATTATATTACAGCTTTTTCTGATGAGATGGTCTTTTTTGTTGGCAACGCGAGAACAGATGGCCCTCCATATACATTGGTTTCTTCGCCAGTTGCTAGTTCTTTATCATCTTCTTGTGCTCTTTCTTCTTCCCGTTCATCCTCTAATACAAGAGGCTCTTCTGTTTTTTCATATAAACGTATGACATTGTCATGGCCACAACTCACCACATAATAACCATTTCYRCTCAYAGACATATTACGGCATTCACCTCGGTGACCCTAAACCAAATTAAATACTTAAAATAAACTAATAATAAAAAATTCTTTAAATATTAGGACAAATTAATAAATTAACTCATTAAGTTAGAAGTTGTTTAAAAAAAAAATGAAACTCGTTAAGCTGGAAGTTACTTTTGAAAATAAAAGTAACTCGTTAGATAACTTAGTTAAAAGTAACTTAACTAAGATAAGCTTCTTCAACAAAAAGTTAGAACGCAAAACAATAAAATAACTAACATTGATGTTTGTTTATAGTATATTTAATATTTAAACTTTTGCACAATAGCTGTTTATTGCATAATAAAGATTAGATATGCATCTTACCAAAGGTGGGCATTAACTAGTTAAAAAGTAATTTTTTTTTAACTCATTAACTTAACCAGTTAGTTAATTTTCTTATGAACTTAACTAGGTTAATTGAAAGTAAAAATAACTCAAATTTGTTCAATTTATTTAAAAATAATTCATCAAGTTATATTTTTAAAATTTTTGTTGTTAAGGTGTTATACTTGAATATTAATAYTAAAATAAAAATAATCCGATACTATAATAATAATACTATACAAACATTTCTGTTATTTTTGTGATAAAATAATCGTGTTAATGGATATATTTAATTTTATTAGATAGGCATAATATTATATGACTTCAGTGGCGTGGCAAAGAGTAATTTCAGAGGCAATTGCCTCTRGGATTTTTCAAATATTGGKGGGTGGGTATCAAGGATTGTACTTATTTACATGCAAATACATGTGGGGTGGGTCATCTATATGGGGGGTTGCCTCTGGAATATTTTTAGTTCACCACGCCACTGTGTGACTTTAAATTGCTATTTGATATAAGTCAATTTATATTTATAAATAATTAATAAGGGTGTGTTGGTATAATTTAATATTTAATAATAATGTAAAGTAAAATACTTACATACACTGTACATTACGACAAAAGTTATATAAAATTGTTTATTATAATTTTGGAAATCAGAAATAACGCAGTCACTCTTTATGCAATCAACATACTAGATAGGTAATTAAAAAATGTAGATTATTYTTTTTTAAACTGAGTTAAGTTGATATTTTTTTTCAATATCAACTTTTAACTTATMGAGTTAAATTTATAATTTGTTATCTGTTAGCTTTTAGCTTTTATCGATCATGTGTCCTCTTAACTTAAGTTAATTATTTTCATTAACTTGCCCTTTGCATCTTACACATAGATTATAATTAAACAAATATAACATAATACACAAAACAGTAATACAATATTCATAATTGTTAAATATTATATAAATTACATTATTTAGATGTTAATGGAAGCAATAAAGTTTTCAACTGATACTGAAATAACACAAATAATAAGTAAAAWTTTTACAAGTGTTTTCCTAGAAGATCTGGTTAGAAACAGTATTTTTCGGGAAAACAGTGACAATTTAAAAAAAATTGCTATTACAATTTACTTTTATTCACCTAAAGCGTATGGTTTTATAAGGTAATAACTAATAAATAAGTAATGCTATATTAAATATTTAAATTCTACACAATTAATTTCAATGTCACATTTTCAAAATAAAATAAATGTTCAGATCTTCAATACATTTGCCGAATCCAAGTGCAATTAGAAATTGGCTTTCAAATGTAAATATAAATACAGGATTTTTAAGTGATGTGTTAATGGAAATAGGTAAATTTGAAGATGTTGTTAAATACTGTTGCTTGATATTAGACTATGAGCATAAAGGAATAAATACATTGGGATAAATAAGCTACTAACAGGTACCCATTATTACTTTATATTATATTTGAAATACTAATTGTGCTTATTACACAATGGGTAGATATGTTGGATATTGTGATTATGGAAATAATTTAACAATTGAAGACTGTGAACAACCAGCATCTGAAGTTTTGGCATTTATGTTATCAAGTTTAAATAAAGCGTGGGAATGGCCAATAGGTTATTGGGTTGTGTATAAGATAAGATCATAGGTGCAGGCCCAGTTAATTCGTATAGCAGTGTCGGAATGTCAAAAATATGGTATAAATGTGTTGAGTGTAACATGTGATGGTGCATACGCCAATTTTAGTTCTTTCCAAATATTAGGATGCAATTTAAATCAAACTTTTGAACATTTAAAAAACTAGATTTTAATATTAATCCAAATATTTTCTTTACTCCAGATGCTTGTAATAACATTAAGTTGGCAAGAAATGTTTAGGTATATTTAAGGCATTCAAAGACGGAGATGGAAACTTAATAGAATGGAGATACAATGAACAACTTATTAWACTTCAAAGTGAGATTGGGTTCAAATTTGTAAATAAGTGAAGCACATCACACATTAACTGGAATGCAAACGCATGAAGGTGAAGTTGGCTGTACAAACGTTGAGCAGTTCTGTAGCCGATTCACTGCAGTATCTGAAAAATACATCAGATAATTTTAAAAATTGCGAACCAACAATTAAATTTAAACGTGTTRTTGATGGAATTTTTGATTTTCTTAACTCAAGAACCCATTTGCAAAAGGACATAAGCAACCTATTAGAGCTAACAATATTGTTTACCTGGAAAATTGAATGACTAAGTTAATCAAATATTTATACTCTTTAAAAACTGTTGATGGAGTAGTTTTATGGAAAAGTCGGAGGAAAACATTAATTATTGGTTTTGCAAYTGCTATAAAATCAATACTTGAAATATCTAAAAAATTACTAGCCAATCAAAATTGTCTATATATTTTAAAGTATAAATTTAGTCAAGACGCTATTGAGTTGTTTTTTGGACATAATGATAATCCTAACTGTCTACAGTTTAAGTACACCTTAAGAAGTATTTTACTGTATATTTCAATCAAACAATCAACAAGAAATTGTGCCTTATTGACTTCTCATGAAGATTCTTTGTTTTCACTAAAATGGAAGTATAAAAAATTGTTTTTGTACATGTTCATACATGAACTAGAAAATGAAGAACAGGCACAATTAATATCTGACAACTGCAACAATCCTATGTTAAGTTCATTGACAAACAATGTGCTGTATTATATAGCATGATATGTAATAAAAAAAATATTACTAGAACTCAGTTGTGAAAAATGCATCAAAGCTGTGACAGATGATTCATATGTGCAAGATCATACATACCGTACTACAGAGAAYGAATCATTCAAAACTTTCACAAGAATGAAGCACAGAGGAGGCTTAGAATTAGCATCAGAAAGTGTTTTCAGAGTTATCAAAACCACTGAAACATACTTTAAGTCTGTAGTTTCTGAGCAATTGTCTAAGAATATAGATACTAAAATAATCCTCTGGATTCAAAATACATTAGCATTATCGTCAACTTTTTTTCCTGAAAGTATAGATTGTTGGTATGTAACAGACATACATGCAAAACCTCAGAAAATTAAATTAATCAACCTAATTGTACACACATATTTTAAATATAAGATTACACTCTTATAGCAAAATAATAACTTCATCAATAATGAAGGTGGCTAGCAAAAGACAAAAAGCTTCATAAAACTTTTTTATTTTACAACATTTAAAAGTAGGTATTTACTTTAGGGAGGGGGCTACATAAATTTCTGTGGGGGCTGTAGCCCCAATAGCTCCCATGCATACTACGCCCATGCTTATGGGTAAAATGTTTGTTTGGATTTCGATTTATTACAATAACTTTGGAACAACGATAACTCGTTATCACTAACATCCCGTCTATGGCATAAACAAGAAGACTTCTTATCAATTGTCGATAATATTATCATATCAGTATCCAGTGATCAGTAATTAAAGTTGGATCACGAATTCGCGAAGGATGTTCAGTAACTCAAAAACTTACTCAAGTTAAATAACATTAGTAAGTACTAAGTATTAACATTATAATTATTATTACTGTATTAATTTTWCTTATTTTCAGTTTTAACCATTCATTACAGTACAATATGGTTTTGGCGAATGTATTTGAAAAGAAAATTTTAGCTAACTAAGCATTCATCACTACCATATAATATGTGGTTGTAAGAAATAGTRTGTGATAGTTTATTGAATTATCTATCTATGTTAGTAGTAAGTTTTTTTTGTGGATTTAGATTTAGATTTTCTTAACTGGGATATTTAAATTCTACCTTATTAATGTTAGAATTTCAATAATAAWTAATATTATTAAAATATTGACACAACCGTGATATTATTATCATAATATCATGATGATATGCCATCTGTTCTCTGGGAATATTTTTGTAGCCTGCTGGAGGTAATTAACATGTTAATAACAGCATTATGTTATTATTTCAATCATTTTCTAKAATTTTCTACTTGTATATGTYCTACAGTATTTCCAAATTACCAGACATTTGTCATTATCTATTATCATTTATCTTGTGTATTTTTATGACTAAGAAACTTATGTTTTTAGCTGCTTAATAGTGAAGCTCTACTTACAGTTTTGGAAATGAAAGTAATTTAAGTAATATAATTACTATCTCGATAATATGAAATTTGTAGCGCTTTAATTTAATTTAAAAAAAAAAAACAGTAGTTCAGCTATTAATATTATCAATTTTTTTCTCATTGAGTTACATATAGAAAGTTTTATTTCATACAATTATGTACCTATTGCATTCAATGATGTATGCTAGATGAAAATCAGTGCTATACTTGAATACAACTAAATTAAATCATTGAATACTTCATTATGGAATTTATAAAAAATGATAAATTATTAATGTAAATGAAGAAAACATAATTGACAGACATGGTAACAATGTTTATTTTTTTAAATATTGATTCAGAGTATATATGTAACAAATGCCCACAAACAAATTATTCTAATTACATCTTTATTTCAGAAATTTTGTTTCGAAGAGGTCAACAACTATGATGAATACATTGACTGTATCTTTGATGTCGGATTGGTCGTTGTTGAAATGTTTAGTGAGTATATTTTTAAATGTTAAATATAAATTAAACAAATCAA